TCGCCTGCTCGCTGGCTTGCATACATACAAAATGCACAAACTTTATGAAAAATCTAAAGCAATGCAGGAAACGAAGACAGGGACAGAACGCAGACCGAGGAAAAACGGAGGAATATTTTTTCGTTAAATTTTTTACATTTTTTTTTTGTTACCACCAGAGAGAGGGAGAGTTTTTTCAGCTGTTGCAGCTTTGAACCAACAATTTGTAGGGATTTCGCTCTGGATTAGGTGGTGGCCAAAGTTTCCAATTTAATCTATATTCTTTCTTCTCGTTTTTCTTTAACTGCATTATGTGCAATGAGAGTGGAACAGAGATAGATAGAGAAATCTGGAACGGAAATTCGATGGTAAAATATTTAAAATTTTGCTGCCTTGGGGCCAGTTAAAAAGATTAGTGAACAAGATAGATGAGTGGTTTCCAAAGGAAAGTAGTTCTGAGCTGAAGCTGAGCCTTAATCGAAAACTGTTACTTATCAGATTGCCTGCGTTTCGCATGAAAGTTGTAAATGTTGCAAAAAGTCGGCAACGGTTTTTAACTTTCAATGTAATTATTGTTGCTGGAATAATTCTTAACGAACATGCTTGGTAAAATGTAGGTGTTCTCGTTTTAACAGTAACTTATTACATATTAAACATTATACAACAACATTAAAATGTAAGTTATAATTACCTGCAAACATTTCTCTTATAATCTACTTATATGCGCAAAGCAAATACTTTAAGTCTTCACAAAACTGTGCATAAAACTAATGTTTGCCATTCTATTTTCTCTCTTCTCTTTTCAGGTAAGTCCTTTGGAATGAATTACAAAGTCAGTTGCATTTACCAACACTGGCAACTCTAATTTGGTTTGAGACCTTGACATGGCTTTATTGGGGTGGTTTGTACTTTTGGGGGGCAATTTTATCATCGGACAAATGATTGTACAGGGCACAGACGATAACTAAGTATGCAAAGGTAAAATAAACTGGAAATTAAAAATGAAAAACATAACCGAGTACTTTGATGCTTTTGAGGGCTTAAAAAAGCTTAAAAATTGCACCGTTTTGGGGCAAAATATTTTCGAAAAAGAAAAATAATTATGGGCTTTTATTATTAGTTGCAAAAATAATGCTTTAATATTTTAAGAAGCCAGTATTAATTTTCTTTCTTCTCTTTTTATATTTTAATATTATATATTTTCGCTTATATTTTTTTTTTATTTCTTAACGGCTGCAGCTCAAGCAATCAGTGAGAAAGAATTTCGAGTGGCAACGTGTTAAACAATACAGGCAGGTTTCAAGAGGTGGAGAAAGTGTAAAGAAATGGAATTCGCAACAAGAGCAAAAAACAAAAAAAAAATAAATGGTAACAATCTGGCACACACACTCACACTAACACGGCGAAGGGAGGACAGGAAAAAGTGAAATTAGTCATTTGTAGCGAACAGTTTTTAAGGAAACAGGAGTGGGCGGTCGGTGGTGGTAAGGTGAAAAAAAAGGGGCGGGGGGCGTGGACGGACACGGCTGTTGCACATTCTCATCGCATGCAATTTGCGCTGGAACTTTGCCCTCCTTTCGAGCATTGTGTTTGCCATTGAACACGCACACATTGAATGCGACTTTGAGTGTGTGTAAGGCTACATGTGTGTATGGGGGTGTGTGGAGCTATTGTTCACAGACACTCTCCGACACACAAACACACACATAGACACCTCGAAATTCTGTAAATGGGCTCACGGGCAGCATTGTTGCAGTAATTGTAGCAATTGAGCGTAGTTCAGAACAAAAGCCACCACCCACACAAGTACATTCCTTCAGTTCGCACACACTGCCATGTAAATTTATATATACATATATTTATACATGTGTTTATGTGCACCTATATAGAGCTTACAATGTGTCACGCAAGCCTTAACTAATGTTTTTATTTTTTTTTAAGGTTTTTTGTTGGATTTTTATCCTAGCAATTTCAGGTCATGTTATGTGTTTGTCTGCCTTATAAATTATGGAATTGTTATTCCTAAGTGTTGGAAAACACGTTTTCATTCAAATTTGCGAATTGTAAAATACAATACGAGTAGAAAGAAGTGTAACAAATGGTTTATGTAGTTGCCAAAAAACTTTGCAATATATTGCAGAATCGGTATGGACTATTTGAAAATATTCCCATATACAATATTTGAATGACAATAGAAAGCTCCTTTTCAACATTAGTCAAAAGTGTGGAAAAACGGAAATTGTTGATATTTATTTAAATCAAATTGAAAGAACGGGCTATAAAAATAGTTTTTAATATTTAAGTGAAATATGATTTGTCTAACAAAGACTCAAAGTCAACGATTTATAACTATTATCCATCTAAGACAAATCTTAGGTATTTACCATCAATTGAGCCGCCCCATTTCTGTTCCAATTCTTTCGAGTGTCTCAACCTTGGGCGAACAAGAAAAATGTCAATTTCCTCGAGAAAATGCTTCTCTAGATTTTTACATTCAACTGCAACTTGGGTGGTAAAATAGGGGTCGGAAAATGGTGGAAAATGATGGGTACGGGGGAAATAGGAGGAATAACATACAAGCAAAACATAATTTACACGCCAATATCATGTCGTTTCACACTCGTGTGCTTGTGTGTTTGCCATCTAGCTCGCCTACACACTCACGCACACAAATATCAGACTCTCAAACACACACTTAAGCCACTCACAGACACACACACACACACACACTCTTATAAAAATGAGGTCAATAACAGGTAGATTATCAAATAACTATTACACATTGCGTGTTGTACGAGACATGAAGCCGACGACGACGAAGGCGACACCAATAACGTTCAGGACGTGAATGTGGCTGAGCTTGAGAAAAATAAAAATACGATTTTGTATATAGCCAGTTTGATTTGAGAAAACTTATCCTGGGGGCTCTAAAGCTTGAAAACTCTTAAAAATAAATCTGTCTTTTAAAGTTTCTCTACAAATTTCAGATCATTTTTAAAAGTTATTATCAAAAATATCAATAAACTTCCTAGATAAATTATCCTTATTATACTTTTCTAAAAGTATGCTTTAGAAAAAGAAACGTTGTCTTTCGAAGTTTATTTATGGGAATTCCGAAATTGATTAGATCGAAATATACACTAATATTTTGTAAACCCCATTTATCCGCACTGTGTAGCTGTGGTTACTCGTTGCTTGCAATGCTACTTTGAAAGCAGATTGCCTTCGTGCCACACATCTATCCACAGCTTGTGGCTCACGATCAAAACTTTGCTTAGCTTCGTTCGCTTATCTCTCGCTTCACCTACTTCAACAGCACCTACTCACTCCGGCCCCTTTTTGGCACCTACTCCAATTACCTACCGCCCACTTTTCCCTTTCCTTGGCACTTGGGCAAGTTGCCCCGTGTCATGCGGTTAGCAATCAACGCCTACACGACTTGCTTGCCACACCCCACACCCCACCGACCACCCAAATCCCAGTCCGAAATCCAAAATCCATCAGCCATGCTTGAAGGTCAATTTATCGCCTAATGACGTTGAACAATGACAAGGGATTCCAGATTCTGGAAACTGTGGTGACATAGCGAACATTTAGTTTGATTTATTTGGCTGAAAAAAACGAACATTAAAGGGTCAGGCTATCAATAAATTCGACTGGGGATTTAAAGTTGCAGGCATAAATATTCATTTATGTAAATATAACGCATTTATCTGTTGAAATATACATTCATATTTTTTGTAAAGCTTCACTATAAAATATCTGGTATAAATATCAATAATAGAAATGTCTATAATGTATCCTATTGTTTATCAAATCAGAAAGGTCTGCCTTAATGGTATATGTGGCAAATAATGCATTTTAAGAATGATGAAGACTAATCTGATTAGATGTTTACACGCACTTGACCTAATGAATACTAACAATAACTAGTCAAATGCACTTTTCAGTGCCCTTTTAATAACGTTGATTTATTGTCTTGGGTGGGTATCAATTGCAATGCACTAGCAATAGCAATTCAAACAGAAAGTCCGCATCTGGGTCAAAATCCCATTTTGAGGGCTAATCCCGAACATGCGGCGTAACCATAACGATGTTAGCAGCATCCTGGTTCCAGTTATAGAAATGCGGTTAGGCGTTCAGCTTCCATCGCCCATCTTCGTCTGCTACTTTGGCCACAGGAATTTGGCTTTTCAGCCCCATGAATTTGTGTGTGAGAAGCAACCCCTTTTAAGCCGTAGACCACCTGACGATGCTGGGTGATGAGGTCACAGAGGGCCAGCAGGATATATAGAATCCAGGATTCAGGATCCAAAAATCCAGGAGCTTCGAGCTGCCAAAAACAAATACAGCAAACTGACTGAACAAACAGAAAAATAAGTAAGAAGAAAAAAGAAAAATATACCAAAAGAACAAAACCAAACAAAAAAAAAAATAAGAAGAAAATTTTGGGGAAAAAGCGGAAGGAAAAATTGAAAAGAGAAGGAATTGCTCGGCAAAGCGTAAAATGTTTACGAGCGAGTGACGATGGCGACTCAAGTGCTGAAGGATTCAGAGGAGAAAAAACAGGAGACAGGGAGAAAGGAGCCCTGTAAAAAGATTTGTGTGTGTGTTTTGCGTAGTGCAAATCTCACCCTACACTCCCCTCCACATCGTATTTTTCTCGGTTTTGCTCGCTCTTTCGCACAATTGTAAAGAAAATGTTATTAAGGATTTTATATTGTATAACAAAAAGGCGCACTAAAAACTCACCCACACACACACACATGCAGGTGTGCCTGTGTTTGTGTGAGGCGCATTAAGCACTTGACATATACACGCCTTGGAATTGCATCCATCCGCCATCTTCTGCTGCCCGCAACTTCCTCGTAAAGTGGGTCCTTCAAATACCCTTTCTTTGATAACTTACCTTAAGTAAATCAAACCACAAAAAAAAAACACAAATTTAAATTACTTGTATTTCTACTTATTTTTAGTTAAATTAAAATACTTTATAACTAGTCAAATTTCTTTGTTTTTCATTTAAAATATGAATAAATCTACTGAAATTTCGTTAAATAAAATGATTTGAAAATTTAAAATTATTACAAACGCATTTTAAATGGACACGTAAATTGTTCATACGACACGTAGGCCAGATTACATTTGCAACCAATTTTTAACTTTGCCAACATTGCGTATACGTGACAATCTTAGAAAATGGTTTAATTAATCATTTTCGTGCCTTAAAATGTGATTATCAGAAAGCTGTTTATTTCTGTCAATAAAATAATATATGCAGGGAAAATGTAAATAAAAGTTATAATTAATTTTATTTTTTCTCATTGTGACATGAGGGAATATCTATGCATTTTCCAAGTTAGAGTATTACCAAATCGTATTTTGACTGTAACGGGTTTTTCATTTTGGGCGCAGGCATTAGACGAGTTCTCATCTACTTAGTTTTTCAATGCCCCTCCTTCTTTTCCTCAAAGTCAGTCAGAATGTTGAGATGCCGATGACGGTCCCTATGAGTGTGTGTGTGTGTGTGTGTGTGTGTGTTTGCTTATGCATTTGTGTTTGTGTTTGTCCGCCTTTCCTCTGTCTCTGTGTGGGTGCTCAAGGTTCAGCTGCGAACATTAGTCAAGTCAACCCAAAATGAGCGACCAAAAGTGGCGCAGTCAAGCAAAAAGGCTCTCGTTGCAATGACTGAATGAGTGGATGAGCGGCTGACTGAGCGAGTGAATGCGAGTCCGAATGAATGACGAAATGCGCGACTGACTGACTGAATGACTGAATGAATGACTGCTGTTGGATCCTTGAAGGGACCGACTTACCAAAGGACCCAACGCGCCAGCTGGAATGCATATTTCTTCGTCCTGAATTCAAGCTCCCACTTCCTTGCCAACTTATTTTCATTTTACCTCGCGATTCCTATTTCGCTTGCATCCTCCTTTGTCACACTCTTGAGGAATGTGACGACACATAGCGGCACAGTGGATGTATTTGACAAATTTTGTTGCACAATTCTCTGAAAAATTAAATGCTAAGTTTGGTGACAACTATAAGAATATCTCAGAATATCTATTTTTTTTTTTCAATTTTATACTAGTTCTGTTAACATATTTTGATTGTTTTTTAGCTTTTTTTTTCAGCTTTTTTCGATGTTTTTAAACGAATTATTTTAGGTTAACCTTATTCAATGTGTTAAGTTACAATTATTACAATTTTTACTTTACCAATGTTATAACTGAAATTGCTATCGATATTAATCTTTATTTTTATTTTCAATCAATCAAATTTTTAGGACTTGAACCCAACGTGAAGTTTCACTACTTTAGATGAATGACTGTCACGATGCCCGGGCTCCGGTTATAAACATGTTTTCCTTTCCGTTTTATTATTATTATATTTTCTGCTGGGGATTTTATGTTTTTTTTTCACCCTCTATTTTATTTTTATTTTGTATAGCAATGCTGTACTTAGTCTTTTACAATGTCAACCATTTTGTTCTTTTGTGTTGCGTTCGTGCAGGGAGAGGCCAAGGAAAATGCAGTGAACATAAATACCATGACTGACAAGGGTAGGTGGAAAGCGAATGGAAAGTTGGCGGTGGCAGCCTTCTTCGAGGGCTAGAAAATCCGGTGATGGCTGGTGCAATCTGTTGCAATCTTCTCAAGCAATTCGTCGTTCTTCACTCTGCGAGTCGATTCATCTTGGCAGGCCAAAGAGTGCACGCCTTCGTTACGCATTCTTTAATTGAATATTTATCATGTCTACTGAAGGTGGAGCTTAAGTGCACAGAGAAAAAACATCACGTTGCTGGCGTAATTTCCTAAAATATCTTTGTAAAGCTCAACTTGATTGTAACGTATGTAATAATATGAAAGTGCATAACATAAAAGATGATTCTAATAATTGTAAACTTATTATGGTTTATTAATTGGCTAACCAAGTTTCAGAATCATAGTTGTTTTATTAATATATATGGTTTCAAAACATCACTTTAATTAACCATTTCCCAGTTATAGAAAGTTGTTGCAGAAATCACTAGAGTTCTAAAATTACTTTAGTAAACGCCGTTTGTTATAATATATCCAACGGTCTTCTATATTTGAAATATATTATTGAAGATTGTTGAAATTCTTTCGTCATTTTTTAACATAATAGCAAATGTATTAATAGGGAATAATGTGTTTTGATAAACCATTTCCCAACTATATGTTTTTTTTTTTGGTGGCGTGTAATAAATGCTGTCACTTGCCTTTCTGTGGCCTTTTTCACCATCTATTTTTCGGTGGATAGGCAACCTGATTCGACGTTGTCGCGTCCTTGTAATTGCAACTAGAGCGAGTGCGCCTTGTCAGCCTTGTTTTTCGCCATCGGTTATGCATTGTGTGCTGCATGCTAAGCAAAGGCACTGAGAAGGATACGGATTTCACCCCGAAACACCACACCCCGCCGACGTAGCCTTTTGTAAACCATATCCTTATCCTTGCCTGCATATGCAATGCATCTAAATTGCTTTCGAGTTCTGTTTGTTGTTTTGCGGGTAGAGTCGCATCTGCTTTGGCTTTGAGATTTACAGCTTTGTTCGTTACGTTACGTTCCGTTCCGTTCTGTTTTGTTCTGTTCTGTTCCGTCCCGTTTTCGATTCATCTCTTTGCGGTCCCCGGACCCCCAAGTCGACTTTCAGCATCTTCCATTCAATTTCTTTTCCACATTAGGACCGCTCGAGATTCTCCATTCTGTGTGCATCCTTACTTTGACATTTTAAATGTTATTTAATGGTCCCCGGAACTTGGTGGCTGCACCCGGCAATCTTCACCATAAATTCATTATTATTATTTTCCCTTCATTTGATTCTGTGTGTGTAAGAAGGTGAGCCAAGTCGAAACGGTTTACACTTGATTTATATTGGCTCTTTGTGCGCAATTTATGGCCGAGAAGAAGAACAAGAAGACGTTGCCCTGGCGACAAGCTGTCGATTTTATTGGCTATTTTCTCGTTATTTGAGCGATTCAAGGCTATGATATAGGCTATATGCGGAAATTTCGAGTTATTTATCTGTTTTTGGCTGTATCAATTAATTTGATGAAGGTTTTTTTTGGGGATTTTCCGAACTGAAATATACTTGCAATGTCATTGTTAATTAACTGTTCCTGATTTCCAAAAGTTGTAGCCTTAACTTTTATTTCATTTGAGTGTTTTTTGTTTAATACATTTTATTGGTGGTTAAACTAGCGCTCAACATCTGTTTGCTTTATTTACAAGCACTCTTCAGAAGGCTACGTTAAATTAAAAACGTAGCCCTTTCTCCTCTCTTTTAATAATTATTAAAATGTTGAACTCGCCTTTTTTTAAACCCTTTTTAACCCCAGTTTTTCACATTTTCCTTTACCACTTTGGCGTTAATGCATTTTTTCCTATCGCAAGGTGAACACTCGCTCCCCGTGCTTTTGGTTCTTAGTCGCTTCCCTATTTATCACAACTTTAATCTGTGACACGACTGTTGTGGTCAAAACAACCCCCTGCACCCTGTCTTGCCTCATAACATCTGCTAAGCTTCACCCGCGGCGATTTCTCGCTATGTAGCTAAGTCACCAGCAAAACAAAATAAAAATGACAGAAAAAAGGTGGAAAACGCAAGGAATAGCGCGTTGAGAAAAAATTTTAAAAAAAGTAAATAATTAAAAAAAAGTTATACAAATTGCCGAGGGTCCTTCGGTTATCCCTACAGAGCTCCCTTTTTAGCTCGCTTTGACTGTAATTAAATGATGTTTATTAAACGTTCACCATTGTTTATGCCTCGAGCGAGAATCACAGGGTGTGTGGATGTATTACGTTTTTAATTTGCAGTACTTTTGTTTTAAAGTATATTCACTGCAGTTTTTGTACATACAACAACTTTAATGTTCGTTAAAACTGATGAGTTTCTTAAAATAAAATGTACTAACTATTTAAAACTAAAGATCATTTTACAAATTTTAAATTAATCGTTTTACTACTTTAAATTGTATTAAAAATTAAGAGAATTAAACTTTAAATATTTGTAATGAGTTAAAAATGTATCCAATATTCAAAGTTGAGGGAATTAACAATATAGTAAACATTAAAAACACTTTCAAGCAGTAGTAGTTGTGTGTTTGTAGCTTCTGTTGCGCTATTTGCAATGCCAGCAAGTACTTGAAAGTTTAAATGATGGCAAGGCAAACAGGTTTTATATACGAATTAAATTATATAAGAAAATATGTATAAGATGTATATATAATGTTGTTAGTATATATAATATATTTGGCAAAGCAAAGGAAGCACACAAAAACCACAAAAATGCCGCCTACACTGGATGCTGATGTTTTGGCATTTTGGGGCGGCTGTCACGCCCACACAAAACTTGCCGTCAAAGGGTTAGGGTGAAAAGCGAGAGGGGAAGGGTAGAGAGGCGGCGAGGGGTACGGGTGTAAGGGGTTTAGACGGAGGTGGCAGATGGGTTGGTTTAGTGGAAAAGCGGCAACACATCCGCTTGCCCTTGCGGAATATCCTGCAGCTGAATTTCCCAAACCTTTCACCCTTCTATTTTTCCCCACCGTATTTTCCCGACTTTCCCCACCTGTCAGTTTATCTAACACGCACTCCAGGCTAAAGAGAAACGGAAGGATATTAGGACGGAGGCGGTAAACTGCCAGGGAAAACAGCAAAAATAAAAGAACAAGAACAACGAGACCAAAAAATACGTAAATTAACAAAACCTGCCGCCAATCATGAGTGTGTGTGTGTGTATGTTTGGGTGTAAAAGGAACCCTGATGGGGGATTTTTTGTATTTTTCCTTTAAGCGAAGGGTTCCTGGATAAACTGAAAAAGCATCGGGATACACTTTCAATTTGACAAGACTCTAGGATTTCCTGGACGATGGATTGTGGTGGTTAGTTTTTGGTGGCGATGATTGCGCAAAAAATATAACAAATGATCGGATGAAACCTTGCAAACATTTTAAAGATAATTATAGAATAGAAGCTCAAGGTATGAAGTTTAAAACCTGAAAGCGTGTTCAAAGCACCGATGGAATAATTTTAAAATTAAAATAATATAAATTTTAAAACCATATTTTTCCACTTTGTTTTTTTAGATTCGGTTTGGTTTTTTTTTTATTTATTGGTCATGTTATTACATCAACTCTACTAATTCAAAATTATCTCCCATTTTAAGCTTTCTATATTATTATTGATGATGTTATCGAAAAAATCGATGTATTAATCGATAAAATATCTGCAAATTTTTATACTTCAAAGGGTATCCAGAAATTCGACTTTGATTGAAAGAATTTTCCCTTTATGTGTATGTTTTTTGCCCCTTTTGTCCGAAAACAAGCAACAGGAACAACAAACTCTTGTGGCGTCACTGTGTGCGTGAATGTAAATATCAGTGCGTGCCTGTGTGTGTGGGTGTGCGTGAGGGTGAGTGAAATTAGTTAGGGCAACGAGGCGCATTTTTGAGATTCATAAACTTGCGTGCGTGACGGTGTTTGTGCGAGTGTGTGTTAATTTCAAGTTGACTCCTCGTTTCACTCGTTTAATTGGCCCGACTGACACTAAACACACTCACAGCACACACAGCCTTACACAAACTAAACATGGAAAATTACACCAAAAAAAAAGAAAAAGAAAACAATACCAAATGAAGTTCATGCTTATGAATTAATGACGAAACTGAAGAACGACAAAGAAAAGAAACGAAGGTAAACCAAAATGGCAGACCTTCGAGGAGAAAAGGGGTTTGGGTTCATTGAACCACCGTCCGTAAGCTTGACAAATTTTAATTAATTAATTCATATCATATTTATCTTCACTAGACTGAAATGCAATGAAACCATTCAATTAAGCCAAGTCAATAATTTATGATCCCATAAGGTCTTCCTAGGTATCCATTGACATTTGTGGCCAACAAGTAATTGTGGTAGTTGCAGCTGAAGCAGTTGAATGCCGAGCAACAAACTTTGTCAATTAAAATTGAAACTTAAGAACCAAGTCAATCGTAAATGTTTATTAAATCACAAGAATGTCCTTTTGTAAGTGGTGCAATTCTTAATTCTTCTTCTTACATTTAAGTTATTTAGGACAAATAGTTTGGTATATTTCTAAGTTTCGATGGCTGCAGAAAGGTGATACAAAAATGCTATTTTAGAGTCCATAACTGGTTTTGGTGTTTACGTTGGACGATTCGATTTTCACGTATAAAATAGTTAAATTTCATAGGACGGCTGCCCGATTTCGAAGTGCAATAGTTTGAATAGCTTGTGACTTAATTCTTTAATAATCCAATCCATGAACAACAGCAACCGAAAATTTTAATTAAATGATAAGCGCTTCTCTTCGTTCGTAACTTTAGCTTTGCATCATTTGTTTACTTGATTTGACTTATTAATTCGAAATTTCCAGATTTATTATCTTTTCGAAGACTTGCGTACAAGAACAATATGAAATGCATGTGTACGAGTATTTACATCGTAATTTTCACGTTCTTTTTAATCAAGATTTTTAAATTGTAGATCACAAAGTATGGCATTTTGAGATGATGCGAAACGATTATTATATGCCATATAATATTTACGGTCAACACTTTATTAATGCACCGCAAATACGGGCGAAAAACACAAACTCGCACATATTTGCGGAGCATAAATTGAGGCGTAAAGCGAAAAATATTTCCCCCGCTGATGGTTGAAAGTCAAAAAGGTGATAATTTCATTTACAACTGTCACCCACACATCCATATATACACATAGCTTATAGGAAATATCCCTACATAATATATACACTTGTTTACCTCTGCCCACTCACCACCCCCCCTTTTTTTTTGTTAGCTTTGGTCGACGTCAATTTATTGATACCCGCCAAAATGAAATAAAAAAAAAGGGAAAAAGAAACAAAATTGGGAGCAGAGGAAAAGCGAATCGTAGCCATAAAAATGAAACTGAAAATGAGGGAAAATTGCCAAGAAGTGATGGAAAAATCGGGGGTGGTGGTGTGGTTGCGTTGAAATCTGAAGTTAAGGCATTTGTCAACACAACGCTTGTAATTTTTGTGTGTTTTTTTTACTTGTTTTATTTATTTTTTTTTTAGCGGGTAGCAAACGGCATGACGTATACGCCGCGGTGCACCTAGTGATATACTTTGATGTTTGCTGGTTCTTCAAAGGCATTTTAGAAATAGGTCGTTCAACTTGGTAGGATTTTCTTTAAAATACAATATTATTTAGGTATTTTTAAAAACTCGCTTTTATCGTTGCTAAAGAGAGTTTAAAATAAAATTTGAAAAATTGCATAGAATTTATTTTCAGGAACCTCCCAGGTTCATATTCCTTCACAATATTTTTCTTATCTCCTTATTCTGTTGTGTTTTTTCATAGTTCTTGGTTTTATTTACTATTTGCTTGGCTGCGGGTGACGACGAGTGGCGACGCAAGTTAAGTCAGTAGGATGCCAGGACACGCTTATCCTTTGCCACCATGCCGAAGTATTCTTCACTTTTTCCCTAGTTTTCTTCAGGTTTTTCCTCGTTTTCCCCGCATTTTTCATATCCTTTTTCCTCAGAGTCTCAGCTTGTGCTCTCGTTACGGACGAGCTGTGGAGAACGCGTAAAGCGTAAACTACAAATTGTTTTGTAGTTGCCTCAAATGCTTCTTGTTCTTGTTGTTTTTTTTTGTTGCGGCAACAGCAATTGGCTTCATTTTTATTGGCAGTTATGGGGGGCGTGGCAGGTGGGTAAGCCCCACCCACAATTGGCGCAACTTCGTTACGCTCCTTTTATTTTTATTTTATTTCATACACGACGGTTTCCTTTTCGTACTTTTTTATACAGTCCGCCTTCCATTTATTTGACCTCGCCATGTGTGGGGGTGGCTGTGAGGTTGGGTGTTTGCTCACGTAATTCCCTAATTAAATACTTAAATTGTAATTGCTTTCGAACAGAAAGCGGCAAAAGCTGCAGGAGTCCTGTCATTAAAACGAATATATATACTAGCATATAAATACATAAAGATATATATATTTGTAGAAGGTAGTCCATTGAAAGGAAATAAAGATATGTTGGTTTTGCAGCTGCTTTCTGAGAAAAAGTGTACAGTGTAAGGTGACTAAAAGATGTGTCTACATCAAGGTTTCATTTTCAATTCAATCTGCTTGAATAATTCATCATGAAGACTTGACATCGCATCACACAGACTGACATCCAATCGAATCAACTTTAATTGAATGAAAACAAATCATGCCAATCATATTGACTCTACCCCAATTTAATTAAACGAAAATATTTTCAACATATCTAAGATGATTTGGATCGATTTAATAGTTGTCATTAGAAACCAAATTAAATTTGATACATTTTGAGGAACTAAAATCGGGTGAAACAAGTTAGAACAATAGTAACTTTTCAAGCCATTTAAATTTGCAATCAACATAAATAAAATTAAAACCTAAGTCGTATCTTAAATTCTGGCCAAATTTATCATGACCAAGGTAAACCTAACTTTAAAGATAATAACACATTTAATATATTTCATTTTTCAAATAAAATTGTTCAAATTGAATTATCCCTTAATTCAAGTTTATACACATGCCTGTGTGTAATTTTGTAATATAGCGAATTAATTTAGACTTGATTAACTTTTTGGAAAATGGAATTAAAGTTTGTTATGTAAACTAAAAATCACAGCTTGGTCTTATAAAATATCAAATATGGTTCTTTAAAATGCAACTATGCGATAATGTTTCATTAAGTTAATCTAGGGTTGCCATCAAAAGGTGATGTAAGTGGAGAGCCAGAAGCTCTAGTGAGTGACTACCTTATTCGTTGGCCGTTAAGCCATATAAGTCATCGCTTTAATTTTAATTGGCCCCGACTAAGCTTACGCTTACGCCTCTGTTGGCTCAGGACCTCCGGCCACCGGCGATTTTCCTGTCTGCTCCTTGAACTTTCCTCGTGCATCCTGGCCACGTTTTTATGTGCTTTTAAGTGCGCAATTAAAGGTCAATTGCCGTCCAGGCTGGACAGCCAAACGACTCACCGCTAAAGTAGCCCATAAATGAGGCGATATGTGTGACCACCTCTTCTAGCTATATATATATATATTTTTAAAAACAAAAACGTTTTTGCTTTTAATGTGAATTTAGTAAATTTGATGAATAAATACGAAGAATTAAATAGTGTGTGGGAAATATTCATTAGAATGAATAATATAATAAATATGTGTTTACTACATTTATAAAGTTTTCATTGGCAACAATGCGTATGAGTAATAATAGTTGTAGTAAATCTGTGCGTATGAGTAATATTCTTACACGTTATTTATAGATTAAAGGCTAAAGGTCCTTTAAAAAAATGTCTACGTTTATTTGGTCAATGTCTCTTGAACCTTACTTACAATTTTACAATCGGACCATTAATTTAGAAGAACTTTCCGAAAATTGGCGCCACTCAAATTCCAAATTTTTTCTATGGCATATTTTAAATATGGCAAATATTTTTCTTCAAAAGGGGTCAGATAATATATAATTTATTAACTTACCCGTTGGTTATTAAAACAGTACGTACTTCAAAATCGAAATTTAAAAAGGTTTATTACATAAATAACTAAAAATGATTAATTTATGAAATAAGCATAAGAATATATGAATAAAGTGAATGTGATATATAAAATATTCCTTTGGAGTTTCAAAAAAAAAGGTATCCTAAAATTCATAAAAAAAATATAACGTAAATTAAAATTGAAATATACCTTAGCCAAGAAACGTCACCATGACGTATTAAATCTAGAAATTGAAGCAGCCGACATTGCTTAAAAATTTCCAGTAGCATATGGCCGAACCGGTGGCTTTGAATTTGGCCGAATATAAGGCCGGCCGCATGATCGTTCTGGGCAAGATGGTCGAGCCGGATGAGCGCAAGGGCCTGCTCTATGTACGCCGATACGCCAGTGATAATCAGGTGCACATCCACTGGATGGACCGACACTCCGGGACCGTTGAGTTGGACATTGTGGCCAGGCCGGGCGGCCTTGAGTTCCGTCGCATCGAGCAGTGCAAAACGGGGCGGGTATATGTCCTCAAATACACCCGATCGGCGCAGCGGTTTTTTTTCTGGATGCAGGAACCGAAAGCGACTGGAGACGCAGCCTTTTGCCGGCGGTTCAATGAACTCATTGCCAGCGGTCAGCGGAAATGGGATGAGTGTGCAGCGGCAGAGGGAGACGTGGATACGGATGATGAACGCGGATATTCTCGTCGCAGTGCCGGTGGCGAAATTGGGAAGTTGCGGGTCCTCAAGGAAATGCTCCAATTCCTAGTTACCAATCTGCCCGGATCGCAAGAAACTTGGCTACAAACTACTAACCAAAGTTTGACAGATTTGCAGTCGGGCGATGATGATGCAATGCCTCTACCCCCCTTGCCCTTTCAAGATCCCGATGCAGAAATACCAGACTTGGCATTTAGTTTGCGTTAACATGGCATTGAAACTGTGGAAAATCTTCTATTATGCCCCAAGCTACGGCTTAAATTGCTAGCTAAATTAACCAAAGATCTCGAGGAGGAGGAGTTAACACCCAAACCCAGATAATACTCAATCACCATTTTTCCCTAGGCCTGCACTCGGGGGTCCTCAATTCGATCCTCCAACCAATAATCAACGACCATGAAGCTTTGGATGCTGCCCGAGCTGGGGATATCGAACGATTTTTACGTGTCCTGCATCGGAATGGGCCAAACGATTGAGCCAAAGTGTCTCATAAACAAGTCAAAATATCAAACAAAAAAACGAAGAGACAAATAAATATAGTATATATCACGAAAAAAAAAATAAAAATTGAGAAAAAAAGTGTACAAAATGCAATAACTGCTTCACTCCTTGGCCGTCGACTCGTCTCAAGTTACGAAGATAAATGAGATGCCATAAGTTAGAGGACAACTTGCACAACTCCAGACAAAGACCAAGCGGATAAAAGTGTGCTTGAGCAAAAAAAAAAAAAACACCAAAAATTGATATAAAATACAAAAACCAAAAAAAAAAAAAAAAAAAAAAAAGGAAAGAAAAAGGAAATAAAAACAAAAGCGAGAAATTTCTCAAATAAAAAATAGTTGCAAACTGCAAGCTGTGGGCCGGCACTATGGGGAGTACTTAGGATCGGGTTAGTGCGGCTGTGGGGGATCCAACGTTCAGTTCCTTTTAATTTTCCTTTTGCTTCATTTGTATGGGGCCTGTTCTGTTATCCCTCCTTCCAGCTTCCAATTTTACCGAAACTTTTCCACGTTGTTTTAATGAAACTAAGTGAGCGGCAAAATGGTGGACTACGGGGGCAGTGATGAAATGTGCTATGCTTTTGGGCAGATAAAGCATTCGAAAATGCTTGGATGGAACTTTTTGTTTTTTGTTTTTTCTTTTGGCAAGAAAAGGAATCTTAAGAAACGGAAACTGTTAAAAAAGTTGTTGCACTATGTCAGAGTTTGGACAATGCTGGTTGAAGAAAAAGAAAATACTAATAGAAAAGAAGCAAATTTGATGATAAGTTGTTGCCCTCTTAATGGTCGGACTGTTGTAGTGCAGTATTAAGTGTGGCCAGCTATGCGTGGTTTTTGCCATTAGTAAGGCTGCACTTTATTTTGAGTTCTATTCCAACGCAGTATGGTTTTTGTCCTTGGTATAGCTATTTGGTTTTTCTGCCCTTTATTTATTTATTTCTGTCTTTAATTTCTTTAATTTGTATACACTCTACAGATTCTTTAACTTTTAAAATGCTCCTTAACACCCGTTGATTCAAAAACAACAAATTTAATTTGGCGTACACTTAAGCAATGCCATTTGTACAACACGCTTAAATTCTATTATACTTTCCATGAATTCTCCGCATTTAACCAACTAAAACTAATGTTGCTCCCCCACTTCTCGTACTCCTGGGACGCACATTAAACTTAATGGTAAATGGCATTGCAGAGAATTGCCATAAAAATTACTTAAAACCCAACCAACAAGCAGCTTAAATACGCCGCTTATTGATGTTCTCCACAACGAAGCAAATGCAATAATAGTTAAGAGAAAAGGGGCCAAAAAGAGTGTTGGAGAATGCAACATGGAGAACTAGCTTTTTAGCCGCTTTTCCAGCTCTAAGCTCCCTCAACTTCATTCCCATTCCCGTTTCCATGCCCATGCTCATGTCCTTTTCCACTTTTCCATCGCTTCTGCCTCTGCTGCTATGCGTGTTGCATACTAATTTCAAAAATTTGCCATTACATTTGTACTTCGCACTGCTCCATGGCACTACTACGACTACCACTACTACTCCTTCCACCTATTTTCAGTTTGTCGGTTTGCTGCCATCTTGAATTACGCAAACACACACATACTGTGTGTGTCTATGTGTGTTGTGTATGTTGTGTGTTTCTGTTTTTGGTCCTTCATAATCAAGCACACAACTGAAGCTGGAACTGGAACTGACACTGACACTGAAACTAAAACTGACTAGAGAAACAGCAAGGGAATGCTGGGGTTATTCACACTCGAAATGACCGGAATTTCTGCTGTAGTCAAAGGTGAAGCTAAAGCATCTTAGCCACACATGCAATGTACTCCGTGCAAACAGCCAACATTTGTTGCTCAAAGTAAAATTTTCTTTCCGGGCTAAATGTAAATAAAAGTTGGCTCCTTTATTTATTTTATTTTTTATTTTTTTTTCATACTATTTGCGCGGCATGCCCATAGAATTTGTTATCTCATGGAGCTTTCTGGCAATTGGTCAATTATTTTTGATGCTATGAGCTGAATTTTGTTGCAATTTGCTAAATTCATGAAACTAATTTAATTAATTGACAATTATATAAAATACATTTAACCATGAAATAAAACATTTTTTTCATTCCAGTGTTATTGTTCTTGTGTGGTTCAAAGTGTTATATTTTATCCCAAAAACGATTGTAAAACAAATTGGAATAATAGGTTTACGTTACGCTTATATAAAAATATTTTTTCAAATATTTATTATTACTTTGCTGCAGTGCAATATTTAATCGTTACCACTTTGTTGCTTAACAGTTATTAATCGTATAGTTTTATTTACATTGAAAATATAATTAAACTAGAGTATGGAAATCAGAGCAAACACAGCAAAACACCTTTACACACGATTTCTTTTATGCCTGTGGCTTTATTGGCATTTATTCCACTTTGAATTCAGGCAATTGCAAAAGCCAAAAATATTCGATTAAGTTGATTGCGAAATTTGTGTGCTTCTTCAATGGGACTGCTAATGGGGATTTCTTTGAAGCGCCTGGAGTCAAAGTCGAAAACTTTGAGCACGTGTCATAATTGTCAATGCCACAACATTCTGAAAAGGAAACACATATACATTTATATATATATTATAGATGTTGGACATGTGAAGTATGCTGCGGCAAACGGAAGCCACACAGACAGAGAATCCGAAAATGGCAGACAAATGGAAGAGGCATCTGACATTGACCAAATATTGTCGCATTAAGGAAACGCACTAGCCTCAAGCATATCCTTGCCAGAAGACACTCATAGAGAGGTGGTTAAACATTTCCTCTCACCGATTCTTAGTTTATGGAACTCTTCAGCTTCCTGAAAATATGGCCCTTGAAATGCCGCAAAATGGTGATGTCAAAGCATCGATAAGGGCCATCGAAACAATAAATCACTTTATTAATTAACATTTAATCAAATTATATATGGTTTTCTTTTAATTTGTAAGTGCTAGCATTTATAATAATTAGACTTTAGGAATTCAAGTTTTATTACTTGGACCCGTTTTAATATTACAATACGTTATTACTATCGTTTTTAAAAATACATTTTTTATTATTCGTTAATTTTATAGTGCATTTTTATATCAAGGCATTGTAACACTTGCTGTCGAAACTCTGTCATCTCTTCAGCAAAAGTGTGTAATGAAAAAATCACGCCGGACTGTAGAAAAGTTGCCAAAAAAGCAAGCGACAGTTTGGCTGGAAGCACCCATCTCTTCCCAGCATCTCCACATTCCCCTCGTTTTAGTCACTGGCCTAGTTCGCATTGAAGCCGCAGTCCATGAGACAATAACTCATGATGTGCGACGAGGGGCCAAGCGGAACCCGAATAAAAATCAAATAATAGCGTAAAAGCTCTTCTCATACAAAAAAAAAAAAAAACAAGAAAAAATCAAGAATATGAGAAAGGGGGCGAATCCGGGGGAAAAGGAAGGGACATTGGGGGCAAACCCTGTCCAAGGCACAACAATAAAATGTCGCCGTCGAGCTTTGTCCGCGTCGCCAAACCAGAAAGTTAACCCAGTTGCAGGGAGCAATGAATAAATTTGCAGCCGAAGCTGGAAAAACTTTCTTGTCGCACCCAAAAGGCAAAATTACATAGGAGAAATAGGAGTGCAAATAAAAAAAAAAACCTTAAACAGGGGGATTACAGCCAGATACAAAATGAAATATTGCTAAAAATGATCAAACCATTTTAATTAATGTCGCTATTGCAATTCATTTACGATTATTTGAGTGCGACCAGAGTTTCGCAAACTCTGTTTTTCGCTGCACTGTTTTTCTAAAGTGATTGTGAAAGTTTCTGGCTGACAGATAATAAAATATTTTCCATTTCAAGTTCGTTAAGAGGATTACAACCAGATACAACATTCAGTATTGCTTAAAATAAGCAAACCATTTTAATTGTTGTCACTATGGCAATGCATATGCCATTAGTAAATGTGGCCAGAGTATCGAAAATTCAGTTTCCCGCTACATTTTTTTTTTGCTAATGTGATTGTAAAAGTTTCTGGCCGGTGAAAAATAAAACATTTCTCACTTTACAAGATAGTTTTAAAGAAGTCACAAACAAATAAAAAAAACAATAGAATAGAGTAATTCACATTTATTTCAATTTAAACCTGAATCCCTTAAATAACTTTGACTGGCGCCCCTGCTGTCATTCTCGGGTTAAGTGCACCGCTCGATATGTCAGATGAAGAGGACAAAAGTGCATTTAACAAATTAAAATCGCAGAAACCGCCGTCCAAACGAAATGGCAATAAAGCACTGGCTCTTTCCAGGGGATGGCAGCATGCAAAAAAAGGAGAAATGGCTTTTTTGGGCAACGTCCAATAATGATGTTGTTGCCGGGACCTCTGGTCCTCTCCTCGACTTTCCGACTGCGAAATTGCAATCCGAGCCGGAACTGACACGCACAAAAGGATATGCAACATTCACTAATAAATTTCATATTTATGTAGAACACAGAATGCAGTCGACGAGGACTAAGGGAAATATCCGTCGAAATATAAACGTGAAATTGCCGGACAACCAGAGTTTGTTGTGTGTGCGGTACGGAATACAAACATTTGGAAAGGGGCAAAGAGTGGGTACTTTTGGGGCACATCTGACAATCACCCAAGGACAATAAAAACGAATCGAAATTAAACCGAATATGTGGATATCCGCATGGAGCTAAATGTCCCATAAAATCGTTATTTATGTTGGATTTTTTTTAAAGTTAATTATATATTTGTAAAGTGGTTTTTATAGAATAAATACAAATTAATGACAATATTTTTCGGTGAACGTTTTTGGAAGTTTTTAACCTACTCTTTGTTTACTATTGGGTCGAATAAGAATATGAATTCTTTAGATCGTGAATAAAAATATTTAATTGTAAGGAATTCATTATTATTATTCTTCGTTTTCATTTCAAATAATAAACACATACACAACAGGCAAACTTAAAGCAAGATTATAATCAAGCATCATTTCGAGGTGGTTTTTCCAGCCAATAAAAATGGCAACCAAAAACACACAAAACCAGAAACCAGAAAACCAATAGCCATAAACCAAAACCAAATCATTTTAAAAATCAATTGCAAATCAATTTATTTCATTTGTGTAACAATCATAATTTTCAAAACGCAAGCGACAATCAATTGTTGGTTGTGAAGTTATTTGTACCTTTTTTTAATAACTGCAATAATTTGCATAAT